ACATGCACAAGACACTGCACTATCACAGAACAAATAATGTGCTCGGCGCTGTCAACGCATTTGCAAACCTTGCGCCATCTCTGTGCCAAAATGCAAATGAAGCGAATCCTTCCATCTTCCCTCCCTTTTCCACTCGTCCTAATCTCAGTCTATTGATGCTGGTTTGCCAAACTTAGAACTGCGGGCAAGAAAGCAACACTAACTATGTAGGAATAAACATGAAAACTGTATTTTTCAATAGATAATGGACAATATAAAAGGGTTTTGACTGAATATCTCTGTCCAAGGAATAAACATGAAAACTGCATTTTTCAATAGATAATGGACAATATAAAAGGGTTTTGACTGAATATCTCTGTCCAACTCACTGATTCTTCATGAATTTAGCTCCTACAGAGTTTTATTGCAGCTCTAATCAGATCCGCCTGATTTCCCCATTCGGAAGCTCCTAAAAGCCCTATCAATCTAATCGGGAGTTACATTTCAAGTTTGTTGCATTAAAAACTGTGAACTAAACACAGTGTATCGAAATGTATTCAGTAAAAAGTGAATGCTTAGCCCATATAATGCAGCTCATTATTGTAGTAGAATATTGGCCTGGTGTGTATGTTTTGTCCATTTGTACAGATGGGTCTAAAAACATCCAATGATGTAATAAATGGAGAGCTAAACTTGGTGTTTGTGTATGTATGTATTTGTGTGAGCGGGTGAGTGATGTGTTGGGCGAGGCCCGAGAAGCGGTCTGTTCAGCAGGGAGGGTTTCGGCACTTTCGTCACTGTACATGCGCTCGTTCTCGTTTTCTTGCAGCACCTACTTCTCTTGGTTTTTACACCTTCTTTTGCAAAGATATCAGCTCCCTTCATTTGTTTTCATGACAGCATGCATGTGTTATAATGTGTGTTTGTTTTTGTGCAAAAATAGTCTTGACATTATAAAGTACTTCTGACAGAACATATGTCCATGACACATATGGGCTGTATTAGTATTTATATGTACATACACACATACACACACACACACACACACACACACACACACACAATATATATATATATATGTATATATATTCTTAACCGAAAGTTCATGTAATTTTTTTTTTTTAATAATTTTGGAGTATTTCTATTGGTCCATTTATCATGAAATTTTAACACAATGTAAGGAGAAGTTGGTCTTTATAAATATGTAATAAAAAAATGGAAATATAATTTTTGTCCTGATAGCGATGACATATATAATACAAATGGGACACATTATTATTACATATAGGACTTAACACATACCATACACAGGGGGCATAATTATGAGCCCACATTCTGATACTGTATGAAAACAAACATGTGGGCTTTTGGCTTGAGCGTTAGAGTTCCCACCACTCTTCTGTTCCACAGTTTTTACAATTAAATGTGTGTTTATGTACGCTTGATTGTGGGTTGGCTCTACCCATGAAGGCAAATGGGTGTACTTTTGATGCGTGGGTGTCGCACTACACTTACTGTGGTTTTCGCTTTGCGGGAGCGTGTAAATTTGTGTGTTTTTTTGTGTGTGTGGTCTGCATTTAGCCCTAGGGGAGCACTGGTCCCGTCCATCAGGTTTCTCAACTCAATCTGTAAACATTAATATGGCACCATTCTCCTGGCAGCGCTATCAAAGCGCCGCACAAACACAAGCACACTCACGGCCTTAGACAACCCTTGCCTGAGAGGAAATAGGGTGTGGCTTTCTTCTGAAAAATACCATCAAGAGGACTCATCTAACTAAAGAATGATTATTTTCTAACACATACACTTGCACCCACACACCCACATGCACTGAGAACAAACAGAAAAAGAAAAAAAAAACTTTTAACCCAATGACAAAGTGATCTTTGCCTACGTCTGACACACACATGCACTAATCAGTTCTGTATGTGACATCGACTAACCACACACACGCCTTCTGGACGCATTCTGTTAGAAGTGTCTACTCATTAGCTGAGTGTGGCTATTAGCATCATGAACACCAGCCAGGGCATTAGAGGGCACTGCCTCTTTGTGCCTACCTGTAATAACAAGGCAGTAAAATGTGGCTGTTAGCATAGAGTGGCTAGCAGTGCCTCACCGTGTGCTCATGCTAGCGAGATAAAACACCATCCGGAGCAACGACAGGCATTGCCTCTCTGTGCCAACCTGTTATATACAATAAAAGTGTGGGTGTTAGCATGGTGCAGTTCGCAGTGCCTCACTGTGTTCATGCATGTAGGCTAAGACAACAGCCAGTAAGGCCACATTGCCTCAGTCTGCCCACCTCTTACAGCATAGCAAGAAAGGAGTGGGATAAGAGAGCAACAGGGAAACACAGAAGACCAACAGAATGCAGGCTGCATGTGGCTACATGGCTCTGAACGCTATTACAGTGCATTTTGTTGTAGTGAAACAACACAAAACAGGCTTTCTGTTTGACAGTAGCGTGGCAAAAAAACTGTTCATGTGATTCCTCCCACCCTAAAAAGTTTCCAAATCCTGCATTTTATGCAAAGGAGGACCCTCTTAACTCTGTAATATGATTAGCAAGCTAATAATGGGAGTAAAGTCTTGTTTGGCAGCTGAATGCCAAATGCAGCACAATTTAGAAGCCTTTTTTGCTGTGTTTCTCCAAAAAAACAAAGGATGTCTTGCATGAGAATGGCTCATATGTTCCCTCCCACCCAAAAAAGTCTCCAAATCTTGCACTTCATCCACAAAATGTCCTTCATTTTTTCCATAATATAATTAGCAAGCTAATAATGGTAATAAAGTCTTGGTCACCAGCTGAATGCTAAAAATAGTTTAGTTTGGAAGCCTTGTTGCTGGAGTAAAGTTTGTTCTTCTCCAAAAACAAGGAGTTCTGTTCCTCAAGCACTGCTCACAGATTTCCTCTCACCCTACAAGGTCTCCAGATCTTGGATTTTATGCACAGAAGGACCCTCTTAACTCTGTAACATAATAAGTAAGCTAATATTGCAGTGCAGTGTAGTTTGGACAACGTTTTGCTGTATTTCTCCAAAAAGGCAGGGGATATGTTCCTCACATATTCCCTCCCACCCTAAAAAGTTTCCAAATCTTGTGATTTGTGTCCAGGAGGACACTCTTAACTTAATATGATTAGCAGTCTAATAATGAGAGTAAAGTCTTGGTCTGCAGCTAAATGTTAAATATGGCATTTTAAGGAGCTAAATGACTTCTGCTCACATGAACACATGTCCACAGAGATGTACACACACATTTGTGTGTGTCTCACAGCTAGACGCCCTGAGAGAAGACTTGACATTTGGAGGAGACAGAGACAGGAGACGGCGGACCACACGCACACACATTTCACAGCTCAAGCATGTGTTGCATGCACGCTTAAACAAAGATGCAAGTTCATATTCATGCGTGCACCCAGTGTATTCAACTTTTTGCAGCGCTGCACACACTTTAAATAGAGTTGCTCTGCAGATTATATACACTCACTATACAGACCAGCAGTCTCTAAGAGTCTGTCTCGCTCTGTCTCTCTCCTGGTGGTAATGGCTCTGTGGTCAAGCCCTGCATTAGCCCTATAGACTTAGCTCCATCACCGCGAACCGCTGAAGAGTGTTAAGTCAGCAGGCTCTTGTGCGGTCAGGCAAGGTTTGACCCCAGTGGAGGAAAGCACGGCCGAAAGGCAGAGACCTCACCGACTTTGTGGCTCAACTTCTCTAAGCGGTCTGGCTAATAAGGAAAAGGCTTGGCTTATTAAGACGTCTGAGGTTGGCAACCCTCAAGACCACAAAGGGTCGGCATGTGTCGTCTATTAACACAGAGAGACGTGTAGGCCAACAACACTCACGTGGGTACACGCAAGCATCCACTTTTCTGGCGGTGATCTAGCTGCACGCAGAATGTCAATCGACACCGAAACCGACACTGAAACACAGCAACGGTTTTGGGAACGCACACATGCTCCGGCTCCATTCCTGGGTATCATCAGAGGATGACTCATACCTCACTTTTAGCTAGGGGCATTTTGAGACTAACTCTAACTCTCTTCTGTCTACCTCAGCCTTGCACATCACTGCCTCAATATAACCCACACAACACTGCGTTTGGCCTTCCCATTTTAGCGCATGGGCTAATGTTACTGAGGTACCCAATACTGCAAAGTCCCACAGGCATCCCTACAGTGTTCTCTCGGATCTGTCAGGTTCCACCGAGTACAACTGACCAATATCGTTCAAGAATGCTTGACATATGCAATTAAATGCCTACCCTGCCTACTGTAAAGTCACCTCTCAGATATTTTCCTACAACTGCCAAGGCCAACTGCCTCAATCTCTGACTCAACATGGTAAACATTGCTATCTTCTGGCAAACCTCGCTGTGGTGATGTGTAATTTCTGAGGTATGTCATTTACATTTTGGCACTGGATCAAGGTGCTTCACTTTTATTAGATGAAATATCTTCCAAGACAAAAAGCCAGTGTTAATGGGAAATCACCTATAAATCCAGGCTTCCAAAGAATCGAACACAAAATCCATCCTCTGCTTCAGAACAGCGCACTGACTCATCCAGACCAATATAGCTACAGAACCAAGGATTAAACTGACTCCATTTATTTTAGCATAGGTCAAAGACTATCAGTGACTGATGGATACACTGCAAGAGAGGCTGCCGGATTGTATTTAGCACATATCATATGTCTATTTGTCACCCCAGAACCTACCATATTGGTGCAAGACGACACGCTAGCTGGACACTTGCATACACTATTTAACAGCTCTCTCAATTTGACCCTAATAAAGGCTAGATCACTTGGCCTATTTAACCCAAACTTTCCAAACAGCCTCAAGGATGCAGCTTAAGGCCAAATGCAAAGGCACTTAAACCACGCATGGTTGCCAAACGGCAGAGCAAACATTCCCAAATATGCAAAAGAGAACATACAGTCACGCCAGCTTCTCCACTTGCTCACAGCAGCTTATTTAAAAGAACAAAGAGAAGAGGGATAATGGGCACTCACGTCTTGGCTCTCGTGGGCCATCCACGGTGACTTTGATGGCGCGATGATACGTCGCCACCTGAGGCGGTCCGGTAAACACAGTGATGGTCAGAGTGAAACTCTTGCCTGGGGGTGGGGAACAGAAACACAAAGAATAATGATACAACTTACAATGCGTCTACTGTAGAAGGCAAATAGAAGTGGACAAGTGGCCTTTATTCAGAGCCTCTTTCTCAGTGGTCAGGTGGCTTTACTGTTACTTTTTGTCACCAGTAAACTAAGACATCGCACTTCTTTTGTGGTTTGAAAGGTCACATATCTTTGGTCAGCTATGACGCTGACGATAGAGCCGTGATTCTCTGAAGACAGTGAGAAACTTTCAGTAGTGTGGGTGCAGCAGTGTTGAGACAAAGATAAACGAAGAGAGATGGAAGACACTGACATTTATAGGCTATTAGTCTATTTCACTGACATGTTAAACCATTTAGCTGATTGATTTTATGAATTAAACCATTAGGATAATCCTGGGATTTTTTTTTCCTGCATGTAAGAATGTCCATATCATCAGCTAATTGTCAAGTCCTTCTTATTGATAAATTTGAAGTGTTAATGCAAAACATTGTAGGTTATCACACCCTATGATTTAGATTTTATACAACAACATTCTGTAGAAAATCTAAATCTTAGGTTGTGTCCACACAGTGGATTATTCCAATTCATTTTCCAAATCCTGATCCTTAGCACTGAATGTGAACACTGTTATTTGAAAAAGTAACCGAATACAGTTATAAACATTAATGCTAAAATTTGTCTCATGGTATTTGAATTTGAATCAGGTCTCAATTTACATATTGGCCAGATTTTTCAGCACTATTTGGAGATGCTTTGTTGCCCTCATCTTTATCTTACATTCAACTACACATCTATTCAATGCAACTTAACTTTAAGCTGAATGTGATCATTTGTATCACATTTAAACCTAAACTGAATTCTAAATCTAACTTCAAGCCAAAATCTCAACCTAATCCTCACCTACACTGCTGATAATCAAATAAGTTTCACCAAATGTTTTGTTAACAGTTAAATCAGGGTAAAGTGTGACCGGTATTAAAAAAATCAGATCATATGTGCATACAAATAACTCTGAAACTAATTTGGAATCTTTCAGAATCACGAATTTGAAAATCCGATTTGAGAATTAGATTTTAGGGACAAATACATTGGACACTGGACCAGCATACTGCATTGATAAAAAAATAACAATAATAAAAACGAAAAACTCCTTACGTGTGTTAGTGGGTTTTTTCTCTATTCAGACGTCACAAAAAAATCCGATTCCAATCCTATATGCAAATAATGGAATCCAGGCCTGCCTAAAGAAGCCTGAACTCAAGAACTGCAACTGATTCCAGAAGAGTGTGGGAGTCCAAACGGATCCAAAGCAGCGAATAAATAAATAAATAAATAAATAAATAAATAAATTTTCATCACATTTGAAAAGGCCTTTATGATGCGGATCGGACGGATTAATCAGTTCCAGATGACTACCTCCACCCCATCCGCTACCCTGCTTTCCCACCCCACCCTCTCTATTCCTCCGTCCTCCGCACGAGACTTCCACACGCGCGCCTGTAAAGTGCCTGTATGTGTGTGTGGCGCAGGGTGTGTAATCGGCTACAGAAATGAAAGGTACTTTCTTTTTTCCCAAGTCTTTCCACTCACGTCCGTCTGCAACTCGTTTAAAGCGCAGCGCGTTTAAAGAGGAAAAAGCGCGAGAGGAAAGAGGGGAAGAGGGGAAGGAGCTGGAGGAATCTCAGCTATGTACGATGTAGAGAGGTTTTTTAAGGTGTGTAAACAAGCTAAACCTTTTAAAGCCCCCAAACATTTCATTGGAAAAAAAAACGAAACCCAGCAAAAGCCAAACAAATTAAGCGCGTTCCTGCTGCGTTTGGACACACGATACGATTTTTTTTTCTGCTTTTCCCCAAAAAGACTCGAGTTTTTCTGTATAAAGAACAAAACTGAGCCTGAAACATTTTACTGCCCATCGAGCTCAGTCAGTCTGAGGGAGAGTAAATACATGAGGATGAGCAGAGCTGAAAAAATAAACACTTGCATAATTAATATACAAATTAGTTTTGAAGCCTAATGTTGATATCTGACTAAAACCAACACCTAGTTATTCAGGCAGTTTAGCTTAATGCATTAACAGGAGAAAATACATTAGTTATTTAGTTTAATGCACCAATATGAGTAACTGGTTATTTAGCTTAATGCACTAATATGACTATAATGCACACTGTTTATTTAGCTTAATGCATTAATATGACTATAATGCACACTGTTTATTTAGCTTAATGCATTAATATGACTATAATGCACACTGTTTATTTAGCTTAATGCATTAAAATGAGTAAAATGCATACTGGTTACTTGCTTAATGCATTAAAATGAGTAACATACATACTGGTGATTAAGCTTGATGTATTAATATGAGTAAAATTCATACTGGTTATTTAGCTTAATGCACTAACATAAGTAAAATACACACTGGTTAATACCTTACTGCACTATAAAGAAAATACATAATAGTTATTTAGCTCAGAGTATTAATATGTATAACACATACTAGTTATTTAGCTTAATGCACTAATATAGGAAATACATTATGGCTGTTTAGGTTAATGCACTAATTTGAGTAAAATACACAATGGTTATTCAGCTTAATGGACTAATATGAGTAAAATGCGTATTGGTGATTTAGCTTAATGCAACAATGTGAGTAAAACGCATACTAGTTGCATTGTATGCAGGCGTTATGTGAGTCAAACGCGACAGGAGTAAAACGCTGGTGTAAAACACATAAAAAAAGAAAGAAAAAAGAAAGAAAAAACGATTCTGTCCAGGTTATTTTTAGCCCTGCAAATTACAAACAATGTAAATGTGTCCTCAGAGGTACAACTTGTTCTTTAAGGTCCAATTAAGCGTCTTAAATGAGTTTTAAGGGTACATTACATTCACTCAGTCAGGGGAAAGGGTCGAACTGTTTAAGCAGAAAAAAGTCTAATAGCCAAGACGAGACGCTCAGCGCAACTACATAACCGCAACAGAATACGGTACAACTGTGTTCCCTAATTTGAGGTACTGATGACGTCCTCCGGAGGGTGCCATCCCAGTCACAGCGTTTGTACCCACTAAAGCAGGGTCCTTTTCTGAGTGTATTTTTATACACACAGCTGTAGAATAAAACACGCACTAGATATTTGCTGCTGTTTTATGAGCAGCTGTTCTGCGCTCGTGCTGTCAGTGTGACTGACAGATGAGCATCTGAAGAGAGACAGAAGACAGAAAAGGTCTCTTTAAGGAGTCTCACCTCGCCCGCTTCTGCCCACGAAGCGCAGGTCATTGAAACGCGCGACCTGGTTCTTCATCACGGCGGAGGCGTTTCTCAGCTCTGCGGAGTAATTCTCATCATTACCGGCCATCACAGTGACCAGGGTACCGTCCGGCACATCACCCAGGGCCACCACCTGAGGACAGGTAACACAGAGAAGCGCGCGCGCACAAAAACGACAATTAAACGTTTTCGTCTTTTATTGGATTGATAAAAATTGATGATGAAAATTTAGACAGAATACGTGACAAAATTAGACAGACAGGTTTTCATTTGAGCATCTGGATGATAATAATAAGATTAAGATTAATAAGAAAAATAACGGTGTTATCATAATAACATAATACAACACGATAAAGGTGTTAGCATTATTATTATGATGATGATTATTATACATGTAATGCATTATTATTATCATTATCATTAATTTTAGTAGTAGTGATAATAACAATAAGAATAATAGTACCAGAGGTAGTAGTCATCATCATCATAATAATAATAATAATAATAATAATAATAATAATAATAATAATAATAGATGTTCTGTTCATGAGTTTTAAATATTATGGTCGAAATTTCAAGACATATCTGCATTAAATAAATAACCAGATGTGTAAATAATAATATGAATATCTGTCACTATCCTCTACTCTCTCTCTCTCTCTCTCTCTGTGTGGTTCTGTGGTTACTGTGTTTCTTAAATATGTTTTAAAAATAAAAACAAAGTCTACGAACAATAACCTTAAGAGTCTTAAACTCTGCATATAAAATGATACATAATCATAATAGGATATCTAACATTAATATGAGTTCAAATGAAAATGAGATGTTAATGCGCAGCGGCAGTGAAGCGATCAGCGCACAGGAGGGGTGAGAGGGGTAGAAGGGGGCAGAAGAGGGTGAAATCAGGACAGAAGAGGGTAAAAATATCCCTCTATCCAACGAAAAGAGAGAGATAATAGAAGAAGGGAAGAAAAGAGTAAGAAGAGGTTAAAACGAGAAAAAAGGGTCCAATTAGTTATTTAATGTGAAAAGAGGCACAAAATGAGAGAGACATCATCAGAAAGAGGGAGCAAAAGATGGTAAAAAGGAAGAGAAGAGGGTGAAGATACGTACAAAAAGTGTGTGATAAAGGCAATAAAAGGAAGCAAATGAGGTTAAAACACAAGGATAAGAGGGTGAAACTGTCCAGGAGAGAGCACAAGTGGGCAGGACAGGGTCAGAAAAGAGAGTGAAAGAGAAGATCCAATTAGGCTGAAGAGGACCAAAGGGTTGGGGGTGGTGGTGGGGGTGGGGGCGGTGGCAGAAAGCGGGCAGATCTGTGGGCATCGCTGTGGTCAGCCTTGTTACCTTGAAGGCCACCGGCAGGGTCTTGTTGCAGCGCCAGTGCGAGGGCAGCACGGAGCACAGGAAGTTTGGGCTGTCGGTGCGCACGAGCTCTCCGGCGTGGTCCGCCAGCACGTCCACGACCGAGCGCCCCTCAGGCCGCGAGCGCACAGACACGGGGAGCGCGCCGCTCATGCCTGCCGCGCCAGCGCCGCCGCCGCCGCCACCGTCCAGCTTAAGGGCGCCGCACGAGAACGACGCAGAGGGCGGCGTGAAGCGTCTGCTGGTGCCCGGATCTACGGGGATGTGCATCACCACACACACACACGCACACACACACACAGAGGGAGAGAAAAAAAAAACAAGCTGACTCGCTGCTCCAGAACCAGCAGTGCGCAGGCCGATAAAACAGAGAATGAAAAACAGATAAAAAAAATCAAATCTGCTGCTTTTTTGAGAGCGTTTTGTTATTTTCTCAGTCCGATCAGACTAATGAGAGTCGTCTGTGTGCGGATGCAGGAGCCTCAGAACTGTTTCCCACTGACTTCAGCAAAAAACGCGCACGAAAACCACAACGGAGGCTCCTCTCTCTCTCTCTCTCTCTCTCTCTCTCTCTCTCTCTCTCTCTCTCACTCTCTCTCTCTCTCTGAATCTTCACTCTGCAACAGAGTCTCAAGTCTTTCAACCCCAAAATTCAGCCACAATAGCAAATGCGAACAAAAATGAGAGGCTGTGAAACGCTCAGTTCCTTTTCTGTAGTACTTTCACACGATGCTGGCTGGAAGGAGCTTTTAGGCTGATTTTCCAGCTCAAAACTCTTTCAGCTCTGCTGTGAAGTTCTCGTCCATCAGCTGCAGCGCTCCAGCCCTCACGAGGAGACTCCACACGAACTCAGGCGCACGACAAACAAGATTATACTCAGAGGTCGAGCTTCTCTGACAGACAGTTATTCCAGAAAAACGCAGAAAAAGCAGAGAAGTGAAGTTCAGAAGTCCCTCGTTGTGACTCAAACGCGCAGATCGGTCCTCCGCCAGTCGAGGCTCATCCAGCAGCGCTCGCTCAACTCGGCTCAAGTTTATAGAACTTCTCTGCTCCGAGTGGAGTGTGTATGTGTGTGGGTGGGCGCGTGCCGCAGACTACCACCAATGAGAACCCAAGGGGCGAGGCTTATTTTTTAACCAATCAGAACGTGACGAAAAGCGAAAGCGTTTCTATCTGTGTTAACCATGGTGTTTTATTTTTTTTCCACACCCGTATTCCGGTTTACACGGCCGTTCACAATGCATTACGAATATAAAGATTTTTGAAATACAAATATAGTCTCTGTATACATATATATATATATATATATATATATATATATATATATATATATATATATATATACACACACATATTCATAAAGCCTCTAAACTGCATTAACTGCAAATAACTGTGTCCTTAATTTTGACACCCGATGGTCCTATCACAGCCACAGCTCACGTTGATCTTCGCTTGATTACAAAAATACAGTTTTTAAAATATCAGTAATAAAGAAAAGGCATGTGAGAATATATGAGCCATAAGTTGCATCTATAATTCATAATAAATGCCTTTAAAACGCTCCATCGGTGCAGCCTAATTATTTTTCCCCACACCCGTATTCCGCTCCTCTAGCCCCGCCCCTCCTGCGCTACTACTGGCTCACAGCGTTCTAAAACTGCAGGATGCTTCTAAATATTAACTACCGCCCACAGCGCAGCAGAGCACGGAGGGGGCATGGTCTGCTGGAGAACGAGCGGGAATGAAAAAATAACGTATCTGCGGAGCTCAGTCCTCAGACGGAGCGATCTAAACGCTATAACAGCTTTGAGAATGAATTATGGATAGAAATGCGATGAGCTCGATATCCGAGCATATCCTTCCTTTATTATTAATTCTAGAAAAATTATTTTTTGCGGTGAAAGTCTGTGTGAGCAGTAGTGTAAATCTGTGTCTCTGATAGGATCAACAAAGCAGTTAAAATGCACAGCATAATGCGGGTTCAGTGCAGTTCAGAGCGGTTTATACAGTCTGGTGCGGAGTAATGGCGTGTAAGAGCTCTTAATGCCAGTGCTGCGTTTGGTAATATAAGTAATGGTTGATTGAATGCAAATAATTTGTGAAGTAGTTCTTCTTCTTCTTCTTCTTCTTCTTCTTCTTCTTTTTCTTCTTTTTCTTCTCCTCCTCCTTCTTCTTCTTGTTAAAGCCTTGTTTTTCTTTCAAAGCGAGATCAATTATAAAAAAACAAAATTAACAACTGCAATAAAATATAGCTGTTATTGATAACGCTTTTATTGAAATATCTTAATAATGGATGATAATAACGACTGTTGCAGCTATTTATAATTAAAATAAACGTCATCACAATCATAATCAGGCAAGCAATATTAATGATAATATAACGATAATAACAACAACAGAACACACTATAACCTCAATAATAATAATAATAATAATAATAATAATAATAATAATAATAATAATTACACGTGTAATAAGTAAAGATGACCCGTTATGCAATTCCACTGAAGTGTTTGTTGTTATTATTATTATTACTACTATTGTTTTATTTTTAAGTCAGCATTTTAAGTCGGTATTTTAATTCATATTTAATTACTAATGCAAATAAACAAGCTCAGAAGACACATTAATTCATACTAGAATGGATTATATTTATTATGTGTATTATATTCAGTCTAAACAGTCTGAATGAGATGGTGGTGCAGTAATTAATGAGTAATAAAGTAGTAATAAAGTTTATATAATATCTGCTGCAGCTATTAATGCGACTTTAATGAGTTTAATGGGGTTTCATAAGCAGAGCCACACCCAGGCAGCCCCAGCTGTTACAAACACAGCACAGCACCACTAGTAGGCGCTTTAGGCATTCAGAGAAAGGGAGAGAGAGAGAGAGAGAGAGAGAGACAGAGACAGAGAGAGAGAGAGAGAGAGAGAGAGAGAGAGAGAGAGAGAGAGCTGTCAGCTCAGAGCATCTTTTTCTGAGTAATTTCCATGATTCTTAGTAAAGGAGAATTTGAACAGTTTTCACTCATCAAAAACAGGAAGAATGCGAATTTTTAACACAGAATTACATAACTATAATGTTAAAACACACCTGGTCTTTTAAATCAGTCTGTTTCTCTAAGCAGAGTTAGAGTCGCGCGAGCCCAGCTCATCACTGAACAAATATTATTAAGAGTTTTTCAACAAAGTGACGTTTTTCTATTCCAGCCAGAAATTGAATGTGATGCTAAATTCATAATGCAGCGTAATTATTTCTTTACGCTCAACCGTTAAAATAAAATACGCTAAAACTAATGAAAATAAAATGAAACAAAATAAAATTAAGCATGGCCGTGGCACGTTTGAGAGATGAGACATTTTCGCGTGATACCAATCAGAGGCAGTCGATTTTATTCATTTAAATGTTTGTTTGTTTATTTATTTTATTATGAGAAAGGGTGGAGAAACCCACACACCTGGGTTTGAACATTAAGAGTCTAATTACGACTCTACAAACTGTTTAATACACATTTTAATGTATTCATTCGTTCGTTCGGAAGATCAAAGAGTAAAATCTGTAACGTTAACTGATTCACAATTTAATTCACAGAGCGGTATTCAGATTGTTCACAGGTGAGGAGTTTACTGAGGAGCTGTACACGAGCTTACACTCATCCGTTCACTCATTCACTCATTCATTAAGTCCTGTTTAGCAGTTTAAAACATGAGCGATCACAGTGTTCACATCCACTCATATTCAGCTCCATTCATTTGATCATCGTGTAATTACGTCATTTACCAGTGACTTTATAAATGAGCTAAAACACAGCATTAAAGAGCCCAGACCCTACATTTCTGTAGTATTTTCATTTTCCTTCCACTTCTTTCATTTCAATGGTAGGATGCATAAAAAATATCACCCCTAATTCATAATCTTCAGTTATAATTCATTCTTACATGACCATTTCCAACCTCTCTGTGTCCCTAAATAGGCTGTTTTTTGTTGCTGCTGCTGCACCTTTAAGATTGATATATGTAAATGAGCTGTGTTCTGACTGGATGCCCTGCTTTGCCCCTCATTCAAAAAGCAGACTGGGCTGAAACATACCAAATTCAATGTAAATTTACAGGGCTAAACTCTACACACACACACACACACACACACACACACACACACACACATATATATATATATATATATATATATATATATATATATATATATATATATATATATATATACATAATACATATACATATTGCTTAGTTTACATAAATGAGGTTTTATAATATTTCCAAACTACATCAGACACCTATATTTTTGAAAAAGGGAAGCAAACTCAGTTTTGTATGATACTGGCCCTTAAATGCCAGTGAATTTCTGTTTATTTTCAATTTTTACTTTGCTTTTATCAGCCCAGTCTGAATAAACAACACCTGCACTTATACCAATAAATAACAAGTAAAAAGTTAAAAATGGGAACTAAATCATGTTCTTAATGTTATTAAATCTTTTTCACCTTGTACTTTGATACATATATATATATATATATGTGTGTGTGTGTGTGTGTGTGTGTATGTATGTGGACATAAATATATGTGTGTATATGTATATATATATATGTATGTGTGTGTGTGTGTGTGTGTGTAAATATATATAATTGAAAATGAGAAAATAAATCTGAGACCCAAACTATTCAGGATCTTATAGCTCCATCAGTTGGAACAGCGTCGTAGGCCTGCGGGCCATATTTCAGCCGCATCTGTTCATTATTAATATATAAGCTGCACACGGGGCCTCCTGTCACATTACACCCCCCTCCACTTCTCCACGCGCACTTTCTACGGTTACAGCCGCGCGGACAGGCAGGAGCGCGAGCCGCCCGCCCCGAGGGGCCCCTCACGGATTCGACCCAGCATAGGTGAGGGGGCTATGAGCTTTCTTGCAGAGTCCTATCAGTGCCCCCACCCAAGACACACACTTCTTAGGAGGGACAATGTGGGCACCAGCATAATAACGTGATGAAAAATGATGTGATTCAGTACAAATGGGCCACCAGCTTTCATGAAGCGTGCCGCAGTTCAAAGGGCCAACTTCTGAATTGAAAGCACCCCAAAGGCTCTGATATCAGGGTGAACTTGCTGTAACTCATCCTGCTTTAATCAGCCAGGGCAGGTTCAGCCTCATCATGATTATTCAATGCTGTGTGCGAGTCATGTCTGAGGACTTGGTTGGTTTTAACCCCTTACAGTATCAGGAGGTTCTTGCTTC